GGAAAAAGTAGAGAGACCACGAGTTACGTGGCCCCATGCTGTCAACGCAATAATGCGACATCTGCCTCAACGGCTGTGCAACCTGCACCATGTTCACGCTCTGCGCTGCCACTCCAGTCGAGTGGCCAAGATAGGACCTCCACGGTCCCAAGGAGCTCACACAGACAGCATAACTCCCAATCTGATCTTCTCCACTCAGATCTTCTGAGTTGTGCAGGTTTCAACGTTTACGTAAGGATCGCGAGCGGGATAATAGTGGAGGCCTAGCCTTCATATTGCACACAACCGCAATATCGTCTAATCGATGTTGACATCGACCGCAGGGACACCACCCTAGAATGTCAGGGTATAGCTGTCCGGTCAGGCGATGTCGAGCTCGAAATATCTCAATATATACATCCTCCCAGTTACATGTTGCCCAACAGGATATCACCCGAATATAGATGCGCTACTTCGTGTGAAAACCGTCTGGTGCTAGGCGACTTTAACGCGCATCACGATCTTTGGCATTCCTGCCTGTCAAACGATCGCAGGGGATGGAGCTGGCGGAACAGATACGATTCGACATTCTGCACAATGAATGACGAAGGCCCCACCAGAATCATGGGCACCTGTAATAGCTCGCCAGATATTACCATCGCTATCGTGGTCTGATAAATAGTATAACCTGGCGACCTATGCTAACTCTTGCATCAGACCATCTGCCCATAATTATCTCGATCGAGAAACCTCCTGACTTTATTTCTGTGGACAACGCACTTATGTTAACTTTAACAAAACTAACTGGGTCGGCTTCACAGAATTTACTGAGAGCACCTTCAACGCCACTCCATTTCTACGAACGTCATCGTTGGCGAGCGTCAATTCCGCAAGGTGATCGCTGCTGCTATTGCTCGCTTCATACCGGCTGGAAGAATCGCGGAACTCCGCCCAATTTCCCAGCCGAAGCAGCTGTATTAGCAAATGAGCGCGACACCTTACGCCATGCCGATCCCTGTGATCCCCGAATAAGGGATCTAAATTTGGAGATTCGGCAAATGGTAAATCATCATAAGCGGACAAAATGGATAGAGACCTGAAGTCCTGCAACCTCCCACCGTGTGAGTAAGCTTTGGACTACTGTCAAAGCCCGTCAATCCGAGGAGACATGACGATCGGGTTGAAATTCAATTCGATGGACATGCCTCCTCGAACTCGAAGAAGTGCGCGAGCTACTTTAGCCGGCAGTTTATACTGCACCCTTCGACCGACAAGGCCAAACGATGTGTTACCCGACGGCTGCGCAAATGCCAAAAGACTGCGCACCACTTACTTTACCCGATGGGAGGTTCAGAGTGTCATCAAAAAGGCGAAATCGTCTAAATCCATCGGCCCTGATGGAATAAGCATGCTGATGTTAAAACACCTAGGCCCAACGGGAGTAAACTACCTCACCAAGGTCCTCAACCTGTCGATATCCACTCTTCAAATACCCGATGTGTGGAAAGTCGGAAGAGTGGTCCCACTGCTGAAACCTGGGAAACCCGCCAACAAAGGGGAGTCTTATCGTCCGATAACTCTCCTTTCTCCAGTAGTGAAGACACTTGAGGCCTTGTTACTCCCGTCATTCACCCACCACCTGAGCCTAGCAGACCATCAGCATGGCTTCCGTAAAGTGCACAGTACCACCACAGCACTTAGCGTCATAAACGCCCAGATAGTTCATGGCCTGAACCAGAAGCCACCCTGCGAGAGGACGATCCTCGTAGCGTTGGACTTGTTAAAAGCTTTTGACACAGTCAACCACGCAACGCTACTTGAGGACCTGGAACAATCAACGCTACCTCCAGGGCTGAAGCGGTGGACTATGAACTACCTGAGCGGTCGGCATTCATCCGTACTGTTTCGAGGTCAAAACTCCAAACTCAGGAAAATTTAACAGGGGGTTCCGCAGGACGGTGTCCTCTCCCCGCTACTGTTTAATTGCTATATTTCAAAACTCCCCCAGCCACCAGCGGGAATTTCAATGACCTCATACGCTGATGACTGTACGATATTGACGTCGGGCAATGGAATCGATGGCATGTCTTCAAAAGTAAACGGCTACCTCTCCGATCTTTCTCGCTTCTTTTCTGCAAGGAACCTTACACTCTCCCCCACCAAATCCACAGCGACCATCTTCCGACCCCGTCGAAACAGCTCGTTTCCTGGGCCTTCCGTTAGATGACCTCGACGACAACGAATCCAGAATTGATCACCCAAACGGGGATTAGGTAACCGTTACAACAACAACAACAACAGGAAATAAAGAGCGATACCTTGCAACAATGAACAACTCTTTGGAAGCAGGGACGGTTGTGCTAATCATAAACATAGAAGAGTGGTCCAACAGGACATAGTGAGGTGGATTATTACACTACACAGTTGTTATCCGCTACCTATGCTGGCAAATAGGGCGAAATAGGCTGAAATCTTTGATCGGTCCCCTGGATATGGAAAACATCATTTCATTTATATAAAATGTGCTACAGTTAGAACACCGAGACCTGGACGCAGGCACCCTAAGGACAGTTTTTTAGTGACTTTTAAGCCGCTGTGACAACAAAATGATGATGCAGCAGACATTTTTCTCAACCTCCTCAGAAAAAAAAAGAAGAATTTGCATATATTATTATACAACATGTAATCACACATTACACAATCAACTTTAGCCTAGCTTTAGACGACCATATAATTTTTACACCCGGAGCTTAATATACCCTAAGTTTGCCAAGAAGTTTGTAACACCAAGAGGGAAAATTTGGAGATATACAATAGTTAAATGATCAGCATGACGAACTTAGTCGATTTAGCCATGCCAATCTATCTGTCTCTACATAAAGATATTCCCAAACGAATTTGTTTTCCCCATTAAGTGACCTTAATCGACTTGAAGCTTGTGTATACCAACAAACCTCGCTGGAAAGAACTAGCAAAATGTTTTCCGTTGAATGTAAACCGTTAGCCGGTTATGACTTCAAATTTAGGTTTAGTTATATAGGGTGATCCATTTTAAGGGTCCCTATTTTTTAAAGAAAAAAATACAGAAAACTCAAATTTAATGAGGAATGTTTAATATCATTTGGAAGAACATTCTTTGGCATTTATTTTATGAAGATTATCTCTTTCAAATGTTGGTTGCGGCTACATCTCAGATGGTCCATTCGGTGAATCCAATTTTCGATGACTTGTTCGAGCATTTCGACTGGTAACTGGGGAATGACACGCGTGATGTTTTGCTCCAAGGCCTGAATCGAAGTAAGATTGTCCGCATAGACTTTTGACTTTACATATTCCCACAGGAAAGAGTCTAACGGTGTGATATCACACGATCTTGGTGGCCAATCAAACGGCCCATAACTTGAAATTATCTGCTCACCGAAGTGTTCTCTCAATAAATTCATTGATTGATGCGATGTGTGGGAAGTGGCGCTGTATTTTTGAAACGAAATGTCCCCGAGATATCCAATATTCGGTTATCATGGCGCAATAACGGCAGCCATTGACGGTTAGGTTCTCACCGGCATCCCTTTTGAAGAAATGTGGACCGATGATTCCACCGGCTCACAAACCACACCAAACCGTTTTTTTCTAGATGAAATGGCAGCTCTTGCTGCAGAAATGGGCCTCATCGCTGAACAAAATTGTGTATACACTCCCAGCTACGACAGCTATATTTTCTTCACTGCATGCTGGACGTGGTCTATTCGGTCGAATATTATCCTATAATGAAAGCTGGGTCTCAAGATGAGTGATGGTGACCATAAGTTGAGTGAAGCGCCCGAAACACATTCTTACAGAACGTAAATTTTCGTATTAAAGTTGAACGACTTTTAATCGTTGCTCAGTCCGACTTATTTAACTTGCTTATGAACTTAGTAAGGAAATCATTACAGAGGCGATACAGCGGATTGGTCCCGAGGAAAAGCTTTCGTTGGTGTTGCTGTAAGTTGATTGGTAGTGTATTGTAAACTAATATGTATGTATATATGTATATGCATAGATGTGCTTTTCTTATAATTGTTAGCTTTTTATCACAAGGCGTATCGTTGTAAAATAATGCATGGAGTTATAAATTAGGGAAGACAATAGTGCGGAAAATCATATTAGAGACGTGTGAGGTAATCTGGCGATTGCTTTTCTCAGTCTATTACATTAGTCTCAATGCAAAGACATCGCTAAAGATTTTTTTATATATGTTGAACATTCCGATTTGTGTCGATGCAATTGATGGCAAGCACGTTGCTATTAAGTGCCCGACCAATGCGATGTTTGACTATTATAAAAAGTTCTATAGCTCGTATATAGTTCTATAATCGTTTTGATGGCTGCATGTGATGCGAAATATACGTTCACATCAGTATTAGTAGTGGCAGTTATGGAAGTCAAAGTGAAAGTCTATAAAATTGTGTAATATATGAGTATAATGAAGTTCCATTAATATTTATAAAGGAATTTTTCAACTTACTACATTTGGCCATGCGTTAATGGAATACTCGTCGCCTTTGCCACCTGCTATGCCATTTTCTGACGTGTCACCCGAACCTTTTCCACAATTTTTCGTTCGAGATGCTGCATTCCCGCTACGAAGTAATTTAATGCGCTCTGAAATGTAGAAAATTCGTTTGAAATATTGACTGCTCGATGGAGAATTTGAGAACGACGATTAAATGTAATCCAGAAAATTCTAAAAAAATAGTGTTGGCTTGCAGAACTTTAGATAATTTTATAATGTTAAATGATCACAAACTATGTAGATCGATTAGAAGGAGATAGAATAGATCATGTCGGCGATTGCCGTAGCGACTATAAAAATTACGACTATTTACAACCAACGCGAACTTCAGTGCGTAGAGGTCCTTCAAATGCGTTTAACTTACCAGAACAACATAGGCATTGTCATAGGTGGACCATATAATATTATTAAAAAATTACTACTAATTTTCATGACTTCTTGAATTTTTTGTTTTAAATTAATTTTAAAACATAAATATCACACATGTATACAGAAACACTATTAAATAAAAAGTAATAATGAAGACATAAATAATTAAATTAACTTAATCGTTATTAACAAATATTAAAAACAATCAATTAAATTAATTAACTTTAAAACAAACACATTGACTATTCCATAAAAAGTAACACTCATGATATAAATACAAAACATAAATATCACATCAACTATTACATAAAAGTGTATACTAATACAAAAAATATCAAAATTAACTTTAAAAAAAGTGTTACATTCTACTCTGGCTCCTGTTGGACCTCGACAGCTACTTCAAATATTTTTTGCATAGCCCGTCAATGGTTTTCGCCACTCATTTTTGATAGTATGGAAACCATCAAAATTTCTTCTTCATTTCTGGACCAACTATTTTTAAATTATTCGATTGCTTCAATAATTGTTTTGTCCACTTCGCTGTTGTTTTCTCGACATTTACCAACCGTTTGGGTTAGTGAGGGCACTAGCGCAGAACCCGATGGCGAAGTCAGTGAGGCTGGAGGTGGTGACTCGTTAAAATTATTTTGTAAGGGTTGCGACACTGTGAGAGCAGGCGATGGTGAGGGAAATGATACTAAAACAGGGCTTAATGTGAAAGGGGGTGACGGTGTTGGCACTTTTACTGCTTCCACAGGTGATCGCGATGTAAAAACGCTAGCGCAAATATTTTGCGAACATCTTATTCTGTAAATATAAATTTTGTAAGTTAAAAAAGTTTACGGTCGTTACGAAATGCGGCTTTAAAAACTGCCCCGCTTCCATTAAGTGCCACTGCTTATAAAACTGCGCCCCGCTGTCTGATGGTGCTATAGCCTTCCTAACTTCTCTGCTGAATCGATCGCAAAGCGCTAGCCATTTTCCACGGCAAACTCTCCTATATAATAATAATAATGTTATTATTTATTTTTTATATTATGCCAACCCATAAATAACAAATCCAAACTTACTACTTGTGAGCATCTCCTTCCCAATTTGTTCCCACAACCTATCCTTCTTTGACCAAAATCTATAGTAGGGTCTACTTTTGTCATGAACCTTCTTTTGAGCTTCTACTAAATATATACATTTTTCGTCGTCCATATTTTGAAATAAATTTGTATTATTCTATTTAAAATATTGTAAGTTTGTATTCACTTTTTACTTTCTTTAGACGATAGAAGCGGGGGTGAGTGTTCATTAACATTGCGCTCTCATAAGATAGGGCGTATCAGCTGATTTGGTATACGGCTTTGTGTCGGTCACTGTTTGAAGTATCATGCGTGATCTGACAAAAAAAGGCTACCGAAAAATGTACCACTACATATTTCACCAGTTACATATTACATATAGATACTATAGGAAATGCTTTTCACGTTACAAACAAATTACAATCCAATGTTTAATCGCGAAAATACCGAAAAACGAAAAACACTTTCATGCATTGTTCAATTTTGGTTACTGTGTGGTCCATTTTATCACACCTTATTGTTAAATTTGCACGGCGTGGGTTTAACGCCACTTCAATAACTCATAAAAAAATCCATTTAATGGGATTGCATGTCACTTTTTGTCAAGCAATTATTTCATTTTCGTGGAACTATTGTTACGGCGCCCACAAAAACGCCATTTAATGCACTTTTATCAACAGCTTCTTGCAGCACACTCTTCAGCGCCTATTATGGTACTCAACACTTTTATTTTTTGCAATAAAAAATATTACTTCACTCGAAAATTCGATATAACACCGTGTCAACAGACGTTTATTTATCATGACATGCATTTGATTTAATACTTGTTTGCCTCTTTTTAGGCGCACTTTACTTGCGTTTAAGGTCGTATTTTTTGATATTGGTGCATTTGCATACACCACGGTCTATTGATGTCACGTGCAGCAACGAAAATTGCATTGCGATTAACCGAACCCGCCTAGCGCCTACAGTTAGGCCTTACCGCCTGTGTGGTCGCCACTGCTGAAAGTGCAACAAAATTGCAAGCTGCGGTGTGGAAGCAGAAAGCATAGTCGAAAAAAATATTAAAGCCACACGTTGAAAGCTTAACGGCATGACAGAAAAATTGGTATTATTTTGTTTTTCCTATTTGCATTTTTTCGCACATTTTTCGTAACGTCATGTCATATTTTTAGACATAATACTGCGCTCACACAAAAACTAGGCTACTTCGTACAGACCTCGTGTAAAAAATGGAATGCGATGTACTTAAAAGTTTCTCGTTTGGCTTAAATTTTAGGAGTGAGCATTGAATGTTTTTGTAGTTATTTTCTGCGCATATCTTCAAGCTCTTTCTGGTTAAAGTTTGTATTTGCTAAATATGGATATATTCGGAGGCTTAGTCCAACTTTCCTTTTAGTATATTTTAGGCAACTTTTTTTTGGTTTAATCTTTTTTCTGGATTAATCTTGTATGGTATTATTCCTCAATAAAGCTTCCAGTTAACTTCTTAATAGCCAAATTTAAGTAATAAAATCTACATCAATCTACCCGAACTCAATATTTGTATCTACTTTTAGGAACCAATTACGAAACACGGCAGAAACTTTTACAAAGCCAAAAAATATTCCAAAATCAGATCACAAATTCATAACGAAGTCTGAAAAAACCTAATTTATTATAATTTGCCTAAAAGTATGCGAGGGAAGAAGACAAACCATCGTATTTCAGCACACATGACTGCCGAAACTAAATGTCATGTATCTAGTCCTCATGTACATTCATTTAAATAATAAAAATAAAATAAGTTCATGGCCCAAAAATTTATTTCATCAAGATTGTTGGTGTATACCTCATTAATCCTTCAATTTAAATCATGCACTCTGAACAGCCTCGCAATGAAAACATACTAACATTCATTTGGAAATTACTTGCAAGTATCATTCTGCATTGTTTTATACAGTAAATTCTTGTACAAGAAACTCTGTGTATTTTAGAAAAGTTCTACATTCCTCAATATGTATTTCAGGCTGAAAAGAATACTGACTCTACCTCGTTCACATGTGAAGTCCTGCCTTTGTCGTTTCGATTTAAAAACCTTACTAGCCTTCACCGACCTGTTTATTTCTAACATAACCGCTTCCTTGAAAAAAATGCTTACCTTTAAATCTTAAGCTCAACCATTAATTAAACCCCGTAAACCCTAGAAAGCTTGCAAAAGTAATCTTCATACGAATCATTGCAGCCTTTTAGACGCACAAGTTTGCACTCAAACACTGCTACGACAAATATAAAGTAAGATATTTGATAGTGCTATCCACCAGCAGCTGAACTTAATTAATAATCGATTTTTAGTAAAACTCTTAGTAAAGCTTCGAATAATTTTGCTTCCCACGTTATCGGGCTCTTAGCATATTCTAACTGTTGCGCCTAAATGTACACCAGAAAAAACGGAATTTTTGTAAAATTGCTTGCAATTTCATTCAGTTCGATGTCACTCCATTACCACCAACTTTCAAGCGTGCTTGGAAATAGGAGAATACACATAAACACAAATTTCGGCACACACAGACAAGTTTTCACCTAAACGCAGTATTCACACACAGACACACCGTTGAAAACCAATTCAAATACAAAGCCAACGAATGCCACAACAACGGTTGACAACTAAAAAACAACAAAAATTACAGCAACAACAACCACAAAGAATAGCCGGCAACAACCAGCATTTCAGCCGAAATTGGAAACCTCGATGGGGTGACTGAGGCTTTTGCGGAACACCATGAAGCGCGAAGAGTAACTTAATGCAAGCGACGTGCCGGCGGGCATGCAGTGTGCCCAATCAGTGAATTGCAGTAGATTTGCTGGCATTTCGAACACTTACTGGCCGCCAAATGCCTGCCTGCGAGCAAATTAAACCATTTTTCGGGGAATAGAAACTACACTTGTCGCAAATATTTTGCACTCTACTGTTACAGTTATGTATTTCGATTTTTGTTTCGACTGTCCCCAGTTATTTCAGCGAATTTTTCGCATTGAACCAGTTCGTAATGAAAATGACCGAAGCACCGGCCGTCAGGCGCGTGGTAAGCGCCGTAGAGCTTCACGACGCGGCGTTCACAGCTTAGTCCGGAATGAAAGTGAAGGCGACAATTGAGGCATGCGACGTGAACGTCTGTCCGTCCGGCGCTATGCATGCCTCCGCATAAAACAATGCACTATTGCCAATGGTTGTTGTAATTGTTGCTTCGGTGGCCATTTTCGACCGATTTTGCGGATTTATTTGTTTGCATATTTCGCGCATGTTGTTGTCGCCGCTATTGTGTGTTGTTGTTGTGACCATAGCACACAAAACATGGCGAGTTTTGAATGACGCGCGCTCTAGTTTAGCATTTTTTGGCCAATATTGTTTATTGTTGTTGCTTTTTGTTGAACTTTTTTACCCCTGTCATTCATTCGAATGAAGTGACGCATTCACTTTGCGGGTTTCGGGGTTTAATTTAGATGCGCACAAAGCCAGCGTAGAATGGCGAAAATTGCTTTTAATCGAAGCGCATGGCGACTGAGTGGGTTGATTATACAAAAAAACCGCTGTGAGAGTTCAGACTCAGGTGTTCATTAAAAAGTCGAAATTTTAATCATGCTTGCCAAAAATATATATACTGTGTAAATACAGTTTAAAGATAAAGTTAAGACTTAGATAAAGTTTATTGGCTAAACGTATTCTTCGGTAGATGAAGATCTTTTTTTTTCGTGTGACAATGAGCAAATACAATTATATCTCAAGATTGGCACTGATGCTGAAATTGCTATTTGTCCATTAAATACATTGACTAGGCATTTGTAGCTTAAGACTTGTACTATATATCACAATTTGCTTTAAGTTATAAGTAAAATATCACTTTAAATGGTAAGCCTAAGTGATGCAGACTTTCCAGCCGGAAAGTATTTTCACTGTTGTCCAGTAGATTGATGGCGTGTATGTTGGGGTGGCAGCTTAGGAGTTATTTTTGAATAGTTTCAGAAGCTTCATTTGCGGATGGGCAGATGTAAGAATGGCGGTGTCGTCTGTATTTAATCATTTATTATTGGCATGTCGGCAGTGAAAATCGTATATAGTGTTTGGTCAAGCACACTGCCATGAGAAACACCTGCTCTGACTTCGTTTATGTCAGATGTGTCATCATTAATTCTAACATAGAAATGTCTAGAATCTAGGTATGACCTAAGAATTAGAGAGAGTGGAGCTGGCAGTATCATTTTTATTTTAATTAATAGCCCGGCGTGCCGGACTGTGTCAAAAGCTATTAGAATGTCTAAAAAAATTGCCGAACAGTACTGTTCCTCTTCAAGGTATTTTACGATGGTTTGAACGATTCTGAGGCACTGTTCAGGGTTTCCATGTAGTTGTCTGAATCCAATTTGATGGTTCGGGATGAAGGCTAGGGATTCCAGAATTAGCAGTAATCATCGATGGAATATTCTTTCAAATATTTTGGAGAATATTGTCAGCAAACTAACTGGTCTGTAAGAGGATATTTCGTTTTCGAGCTTACTGGGCTTCGGAATCATTAAAATTTCGGCGCATTTCCATTGTGTAGGAAATTGGCTTAGTCTAAAACTACAATTAAAGATTAGCACTACAAATAGGAGACATTTTTTAGGCAATTGTTTGATTGTCCATGTATCAATAGAATTTGGATCCGACGATATAGAAATTTTCAACTGCGACGCTTCTGCTCGTAGTACTTCAGATAATTTTACGTAAGATATTGGTTTATCCACTTGAAATAGACAGTCGAGAAAAGACTGAACATTCTGACGCTGATTGTCACTTTTAAGGGCGAAAAGCTTAAAAGTATTGTTAAGGGTCGTCTTCACTTTTGTTAGATCTACACCATGAGTTGTCTACATCTTTTACGTTTTAGATATTTGGTAGCTCGCCATACAACATACTTGTAGATTACAATCATCATTTCTATTTGGATCGACATTCTTCAGAAATTCTACTATACTTGTAGATTCTTCTTTCAGCTCTGCCAACTTATATTTTAATTCTTTGATTGCTTTATTCAGTCTGGATTTGTCAACTGGATTTTTGCTATTCTCCCAAATCCTTGAAGTCGTCATTTATTTTGCACATCTGTGCTACTTCATCTGAATACGGCACATTATTCGTACAGTGTGGTTTGAAATAATCAAGAGGAGAAGCTAACGAAGTGGCTTGATGTACCATATTATATAGGTGAAGTTCTCCACAGCGTCATTTAAGTCTCGGTTTGTCATTATTTCCATGTTTAGGTTAACGTAGGACTATATCCAAGATTGGAGAAACTACTACGAGATGTGACCATTACTGTCATATTGATAACGAGAGCAGAGTGATCTGGGCTCATATCTTCATTATTAGAAATTTGTAGATGATTCGGGTTTATGCCGGAATAAATTGCGAAATTAGTTAGAACCGGAGTTTTGTTAAGATCGGTCAACCAGTATGTGGCACTACCAGCGGACAAAACGTTTAAGTTATATTGAGATACGCGCTTGTATAATTCGCGACCTTTGGAATTCGTAAGGAGTGAACCCCACCATGGATGTTTGACATAGAAACCACCTCCGTCTAAAAATCTGGGACGCATTTTGTCGAAAAGTATTTTAAAAGTTTGTTTGGTTACGTTAAATCGAGTAGGAAGATATAAAAAAGTTATAACAACCGCACAACTGTCGGTCTGGATTTTCAAAGAAGCTGCTTGAATTGATGGTACTGAAACTGACTCTAAAACAATGTGTTTTAGTGTGAACTTTATAAGAATAGCCGAACCACCGTGTGGCTTACCGTCGGGATGGTTTGAGGTAATGATATCGAATCCGTTTAAACTTCCAGTCTATAGCTAATTAGTCCATTGGTGTGCCAAATCGCTATTTCAAGACTTAACTGCATTGCTTGGTTAAAATAAAAGACATCATATTTATTAATATTGTGGTTAACTCACCTCGGAAATCAATTCTTCGAGTTTTTCAATTTTTCCGCGACTTATGCTGATTGTAATAGAATTAAGTTGTCCTCTTGCTACATCCGCATAGCTATCGTTTTTGTTGTGAAATTGTTATTCTGCATTCGTACGATTGGCTAGGGAGGGTCTAGTCTTATAACTATAAGCCCAGTCTCTTTTACATACTAACTCCTGATAAATTCCGCAATCTTTATAATTAGCATTGTGAGTTTGAAAGCAATGGCTACATTTCGGTGTAATTTCTATATTTTTTTAACCCATCTATATGTTTTCTTAAAATATTGCTTGGTATGGCCGAACTCTTGACAGAGATGGCATTGTACCAAATCGTTAAATTTTAAAATAATTATATATTTTTTTATATATTAAAAATTTTTTATATATTAAAAATTCTAGATGGCTCAATCGATACTATGGCATTAGATAAGTGAGTTACGTCGAACACTGTTTTATTGTTTACTCCAGATTCAAGGTCAACAAAAAATATTAACATCGGCAACTTTGAAATTTTGCTTTTTGCATTCACAATATTTCGATAGTATGGTCATTGTCATCGATAGGAGTTGAAAAATGAATATGAATTTTATAACTATTCGATATGGTTTATCTTTTTTTAATTGGTATGTAATGCAAACAATGTTATTGGTATCAATATAGCTCGAAAGTTGTCTGTAACATTCACTCTTTCAAGTCATTACTATCGCTTGTCCGTCCCTGCCTGATTTGTAGGTGAAATCTTTTCTGCCAATAATAATTAACAAAAAAAATTTTATTAATAGTACCCACTTGAAATACAAAAATTGGTGGTGGTTTGTGAGAAACTACAGCAGTTGATGTTGAGTCTACTTTTTGCTTAGAGCTGTGTTCCTCACTTTCCGCGTCCAAATCTAGTGACGAAATCCAGTTTGCGTTGTTTGGCGCTTTATTCATCCTTTCGTTTTTTTAAGTTGCTTCTGGAGAATCACTGCCCATTCGCTTTGTTGCTTTAGGTTGGTATGTGGTTTGTCAGCCTTCGCTGATCCGTTGACTGCAATATCATCGATCATTAAATCATTGTATTGCGTTTTTTTTTCTGTTTTAATTCACACGCGTTAAATATACACTTGGTTCAGTAAGCTTAGTACCTGCGACTGTACTCACCAAGCACACACTAGGAACTGTTTGTAGATGTTACAATGTAAAAATTATGCCAACGCTTAAAAATATGCCATATATTTTATATATTGAAAGAATAAGTTAGTTTTCTCTAAATATTTAACCCCACAATTACATTTATTTAAATTTCACCAAACAAATTGACAAAATTTTCGCTATTACTAAGTGAAAGTGAAAGTAAAAATGCTTGTACATAAGCTATAGCGACATTAATTACCTGAAATCGACGCTTGCAATTTTTTAAATTTTTTGTGGTGCCTAAGAGTAGACCTTAAATTATTCGCTAAATTCGATAAAATGCAATTTAAACACTTAACTGGCGCCAAAAGGTGCAATTTCAATTGGGTCAAACCACTGAAAACTCACACTTCAGTCATATTTTCACCTACACAAGTAAAACATTTCATTCCATTCCAGCGAACATGCCAAATAATCATAAAAATCAGTGTCATAATAAATTTCGCTTACCAGAGCATTTATGTTGGCAACACACGCTTTAAGCCAAGTTAGCAAGCAGCAGGTTGCCAAAGAAAGGCACAAAAATAAAAAAGCAAGTCAACTTTAAGACAAACAGCTAAGAAAGCCGGCGCAAAGGCAGAAAACGTTGTGCGAATCTATTTAGGGCCAGCAGAGCTTGAAACACGAAACGGAATGGAAACATGACTTTCGATTTAAGAGCTATAAAGAGGGAGAAGGAAAAGAGGAAAGAGAGAGCAATATACATAAGTGCCGACAGTAGGCAACCTCAAAACGATACACTTGTGGCGACGCAAACACCGGCAATAACAGGAAAATACAAAGGCAACAAGCTTCCGAAAGAGCAAGGAGCAAAGCAGTCAGTCAGCCAGCTAAAAAGGTGGCTAGACGGTCAGCTAGGAAGTGTGTGAGAGGTAAGTAAACTGTGTAGAGCGAAAAAAAACACGCCGAAATAAACGGAAACAGGCCGAAAAGTGCTCGCGTGTCAAGCGAAAACCAAACAGAAAACACAACAACAATTGAAAAGACGGTGGGAAAATATATGTTTGTGTAGCGCAAACATATGAATGGTGTAAAAAATTGGCCAACCAGTCTAAACATAAATAGTGTGCGAAATCAAAGTCAAGCCAAAGCAAATAAAAACCCACTTAAATTGAAAAAGAATGGAAAGGAAATTGCGGAAATATTGCCAAGTTGTTGTGAAGCAGAGAGTTAGTACCTAAGGCGCCAAACCCGTTACATCTTAAATATGCTAAAAAAAATGTTATTATTATTTGATTACAATCACCTTAGTATTTTGTGCGCCCTAAGGTAAGCTAAGAATGCAGATTTAATGGCAAGTACTTGAATATTTATTATTAATAAGGAACATTTCGGGTGAAAAGGGTGAGGAGCTAGAGCTGCCTGTCTGTGAACTTTATAAGAGGCTAAACATCGATATTGAGCACTAACTTATAACGCGTACTTTTTATGAACCCTTCACCTACTAAATAATAGGACCAGCGAATTTCCTTTTCTATTTACTTTCATTGAGGGAGAGAGTAGATTTA